GCTCTGATCATCAGCTGGGAAGTCGCCCACCCATGCCCTAAACGCCCTAAATCCTCTATCCGAAACCCCTGGTACCTTCTTCCAGGCAGAAGCTCTCGTAGCGGTGTGCGATGAAGTACTTGAGCTTGTCCTGCCACTCCTGGGATTTCCACAGCACTGGCCCACCTCCTTTCAAGCAGCCTTACGAGCAAACTACCCATACGATGGCCCAGTGTAGCAGAAATGGTTCCAGAGCGCTTGCAAAATTTAAGCGTTGCGAGGTTCCAGGTCCTTCTCTGGGAAAAAAGCATACACTCTAACCCTCTCCAAAGCCCTGAGCCCTCTCTGAACTCATCGGATTTTGGGGGTGTCATAGTGTTCCAGGCCTAGGGCCTCGGGATTCGGTCCACCAGGATCTCGGCCATTCTTTGCAGGTTCATGTCGGTTCAGGTCCATGGGGTTCTAGGTTTCGGTGTCGTAACTCTGAAGTAATGCTACTACTGCTACTGCTACTGNNTGCTGCTGCTACTTCTACTCCTACTCAAACTTGTATTCCTGCTCCTACTCCTCATCCTCCTCCTCCTGCTGCCGCTGCCGCTGCTGCATGCATCCGAGGTTCGCGCTTCTTCCGGGGCATTCCCTTACCCGATGGGCGCACTCCAGTTGAGCAGACCTGCTTCCACAACCTGAGTCAAGTCTTCCAAAAAGATTATAGTCGATAATTACATAATTGCTGTATCGAAAATGCAATGTACAAACGAGTTATTGCAAAGGTCAGAGTTGGTAAACAGTTAGCCTGCCAGGATGTGCCATCTCTGTAATTAAACCCAAGCGCACGAGGGATGCGGGTCTTGGCACACCGTCAAAAGCCTGTGCCCAAGGTTCTATGATGTTGAAAGCCCCTAAACCCTAAACCCTAAATCCTTTTACCTACACCCCTCAAAAAGTCACTGACTCGCACATTCCGTCTTTCTGCAGTTGCTGCGCACGCATTAAGCACAACGGCTCCCAAGCAACAAGCCCTCAACCCACAACCCACGAATCCCCCTAAACAGCCCGTAACCTTCGACAAACAAACGTATCCTAAACCATCTCTAGACCTTAAACCGCTCAACCCTTAAATAAGATTCAAGCCTTATATAGGCACCGAAGTCCCCGACCCTACGCCTTCAATTCCCAAACCATAAGCCCTGAACAAGACGAAAGACCTGACCTTGACCGACAATCCTGCGATAAGCCTTCAAAACTTGAATCCCTACAGCATGGGCACACCCTACACCCTACACCCTTAACCCTACACCCCAAATCCGTAAGGCCACTATCTGCAACCAGCAATTTCAACAGACTCAAAGCCTCACCTGATCATGCGACCCAGCCGCTCCCGTACCCGAGGATCCGTCCCGACAAGGGCAACAGGTGCTGCCTGAAACTCACGGGCCTTAGGTTCCCCTGGTTCTTAGTAAAAAAAACTGGATCCCTTTGATAGTCCCTTCAGGTCCTCTATAGTAGTCCCAAAAACCCATTCCTCCATTCCCTACTAAGAACCAGTCAGTAGGGTTCCAAAAGGTGCAGAGCCCCTATAGTTCAGAATCCTGGATTTTGCTGTGAGGCATAGCTACTGTAACAGTATACCTCTAAAGCCTAAACCCACCAACAAAAACACCCATTCCTAAGTGTTTGTCTGAGCCCACCGGTTCGATTTCCTGCCTCCGAGCACTCTTGGGCTTGAGGGTTCTAGGGCTTCAGAAGGGGCTGTTTTCGGGCCCGTGTCCCGTGTTTTTTGGAGGTCTTGCCCCAGAGGCCAATGAGCTCCACAGGTCTAAAGGTTAAGGGTGCCTTAACACCGAAGAACCGGTCGATTTAGGGTTCTGACTCAAGATTTCCCGATGTATGCCGCTGAAGCTGTGAGGGTTTGTTTGCGGTTAATAAGGTCAGGCTGAAGGTTTATGGGAGCTAAGGCAATGTCGCCAACAAAGCTGAGGCTTCAAGCGTTTCGTTTTGCCGAGGCTTTGTTGAGGAGAGATTGCACAGTTTGAAGACGATGCAAGCAAATGGCTGGTTAAAGGCTTCGCCGTCCTGCCTTCAAGACTCGCTGCTACTAACGCTTTTTGGGGTTTTTTGCCCCGAAAACAGGATGCCATCGGTGCCCATGGATCGCCCTGTTTCCATGGTCTGATAGTACACGACCCGTCTCTGTTTCGGGAAAAGCTCTGGGGCTCCAAAGCTCGGAGATTTTTACCCACATGGATAGCTTTCTGAATTAGGGGCACTTCGGGGGGGCCCCTTTTCTTTTAAGGGTGCCGTGCTATAGTGGGGAGCTAAAAAAGGGGCCCTAATGTAGAGAACGAGCCACATGGAGCAGATCATGACAATTGTAGGAGGGCCGGGAAGGCGGTCATGAAACGACGCTCCTTGAGTCTCGTGGTCGATGTAAATTCAAAGACGTAGCTAGATGGACCAGGTCCCGCAATTATGGGGTTTTGAGAGGCAAGGCGACGGTACTGAACAATTGTGTGTGAAGATGTCGACGTAGTATCTGTGGCTGATACTGGCAATGGTTCGGATTCCTCTGAGCACGAGATGTCCTGCAATCCTTGAACTGCTCAAGTGCCATGTTTGTCTGCTTTGGATCAGGGTTTGGGGCGTAGTAAAGTTTATACAGCAAGCTGGGGGCGGTATAAACTGATGCAGGGCGCTGTCGCCGATGTCTGCCCAGCAGGTGAGGACTCGAGGAATCGGATGATGGCCTCCTCAGAGAAATGAGGAATTCCGAAGGCGGGCCCCAAGTTGCGAAGTCTGAGTCATTCATACAATACAAAAAAGGACACACGTGATGGTGTCGAATTCGAAAAAAGTTGAAGGAGCCCCCAAAATTTTTTCGAGAATTATCCTCCTGGGAAGCTCTTTGGAGCGCTCTGGGTGGCGACCCTCTTCGGAGGTTTTATGGCTCTGGGATTTCTTGGGGCCTCTGCAGTTCGCGACTTCTGGGACTCCCAAGTTCGATCCACTGAGAAAAGTTATGGCTACCGCCATTTCGTGTGTCTTCTACGACACCCTACATAAAACCCCCTAAAACCCTAAACACGGAAAACGCACCCTAAACCCTAAACACCCTGAACCGTCTTGGACGGAAAGCGCTCTCTTGCTCAAGAAGCTCCAGCAACAAGGTGAGATATGCCCTCAGATCCGTGGCGCCCGACATGCGATACCTTGAATCATAATATCTAAGCCCCCCTATAATTTAAGGCATAATCCTTAATTAAGGGGTATTGGGCTCTCTGGGTTTGTCCTAAACCCGAACCTTTCGGATCATTGGTCGATGTTTCGCGTGTCATACGTAAATCTACGGGCTACCCAGGACAGCCGGCTAATGCCCAAAAAGGGTCCACCAAGGGTTTGGGGTGTATAGGAGCTATAACTAGCTAAGGCGTTAAGACCAGGCTTCCGGATATGCTGGCATGAACAGCTACGCTCAGTTGTTGCAAGCAACACGTACAAACATACATGGCCTACGCACATAACTTTAATAACATACAAGTACATACAAGTCACATGGCAAGCAAACAGGCTTCCATCCCTCGATGTATGCACTCGTCCGTATGTATGCAAGTATGAAACAAGTAGCATACTCCTGTACAAACACACATCTCTATATATATATATATACACATACATATGCACATGTATGTATGTCTGTAAGTATGTATGTATGTATGTATGTATGTAACATATGTGTAGGCATGTATTTCTGTATGTCTGTATGTCTGTCTGTATGTACGTATTTGTACATGCATATATATATATATGTATATATATATATATGTATACATACATATACAGATTCAGGCAGGTGGTATAGTACGTATGCATCGAGAGCTTACCATCAGACTAGCCCCCGAGCTCTGACTCACATCGCCTTGAGCTCCATGCTCGGCTGAGGGTTGGAGTCCTCCGAGGTCTCGGTGCCTCTCAGTGAGAGCGGCCCAGAAGCTCCACAATCCCCAGGCTGCTGGATGTATATCAAGTAGAGCTTTCTTTCGAATGTTGTTATCTCTCTCTCTCTCTCTGTCTATCTACCTATCTATCTATCTATATATATATATAGAGAGAGAGAGAGAGAGAGAGAGCGAGAGAGAGAGAGAGACACACACACACACAGAGACACATATATATATATATATGATATGTGATATATATATATATATGTATATCTATGCTCTACTTGGTATTAGGCTGCATTTTTCCGATGGCGGCCGGCCAGGAGCTCTGTACATCGCTGGCCAAGGTCTGCCCAGGGCCTTCGGAGGCTCAAGACTCAGGGCCTGGGTTGAAGACTTCAGGGCTGTGGGCTCTTGGCATATGTTTAGCATATCTTTTTCATATTTCTGGCATATTTTGGAGATTATGGTATATGATGGCATATTAATATATATATATATAATATGTATATGTATATGTATATGTATGTATGTATATTGAGTTTCGGACAGCTTCGGATACCCTATTTGCACATTTGCGCTCTAGAGCTTCAGGAGGGGAAGGGGTGCAAGGGCTCGCGGCCGTCGAAGTTTCGTGGAACTACCCGCAAACGTTCCATGAGCTCCCCGCGGGGCGAGTCTTTAGGCAGCTCATGTGTAAACGCAGCTCGTCAAGACGCCGACGATGCTTCCATCCTCGCAGAAGCCACTGAAGATCACCGGCCCGCTCCGGCCTCTGCCCAAGTCAAACCTCGGCCCCCAAATAAGCGCGAAGGAAAGAAGAAAAGGGCTACATCTTCTGGAGGGGAGGGAGGCTCTCCTTGTTGGGAAACGCCAACCACCCAGAAAGGTGTTACACCAAAAAGGCTGATTCTGTAAGATTGATTGAGGAGCTTGAAATGACCTGAGAGCTTGTCGCACATGATTTGGGTGGCTGCCTGCAGCTGGGACTCGACTCGATCCTCTTCCCCGGCTTCCTCAGAGTCGTCCCTGTTAAATCCCAGCTCCAACCGCTCCTGGAAGCGCAGGTGCAGCAGTCTTCCGGGCATTGCCTGGGCGTAGCGTCGACCGGGAATCCACTCCTCCTCCTGCTCGAGATCTTCATCATCTAGGGCTAATGCCTTCTGGCATGCCGAGAGAGCATCGCTTCCCGGGTTCGCGATGACGATGACCTGCCCTCCATGTCCGCTCTCGTTGCTGCCACCGATCATCTGAATGCTTTCCAGGTCTGGCGCCGCTGCCATCAGGGATTCTGCCACGGCCTTGGCGGCTGAAGGGGCCCTGGACATGTCGCAGTGGCGCCTGTGGCGATCCTCTTCCCTGACGATGTCCACCAAGTCACCAGCAGCACAGGGACGGACCATGCACAGAGCCGTCTCCAGCGTGACCACTGCATCTAAATTGACCTCGCTGCCTTCCGAGGCCAACTCCCCCAGCCGCGCCGACTCCGATAGGATGCCGGCACCTTGGAGCAAAGACGTAACGACGAGCCCAAGGGAAAGCGATCGGTTGACCCTCTCCCGCACTTTGGAGACCGCCATCTGCGGCCGTAAGGGCAAGGTTACCAGGGTCTCACCGGAGGCTGCGAAGCGGACATGGACTGAAAGCTCTTGCAGATCCGAGGCCATCCTCTTTCGGGGAGTCTCCGTCGAAGGGCACACAGTGCGCTTCGTGCGAGCCATGGCAGCGCTCAAAGAACGCGACTACATCTTGAAATTCACAACAAAAACTATGTAAGACATAAATGCATACATCGGAAAGCTCGAGTTCAACAAACATTGACAAGTATGTAAGTGTATATATTACTAGAAATGTATACATGCAGACAAAAACTGTCATGAACGCCTATCTTACCGGTATTCGTGCTACATGTAAGTTATATTGAAGATGTTGCTACCCTTGCGGTTACTGCTTCTGATGGAACTGCACCAAGAAACATAGTACTGGGCTTAGCGAACCCCAACTATCTCACGGTAACAAACCCTGTCGGCATTCATGTCTCTGACGGTGGCTTTGTCATACAGCTAACTGCATCCCACGACCCCCCAAATCCTCAAAACCCTACGGCCCTTTTTGAGGCATGGATGCCTTAGAAGTAGAAACCCACCGGGCCCTAACCCCCACAAGCCCGCACCTTGGCACCCTGAAAGGCCCCCGACCTTCGTCTTCCGCGTCGGAGGATTCACCCGGGATCCAGCCCTTGAGCTCCGGTGCACGCCCGAAGCTCACCTATTGCTGAAGGCTGTGCACTTTGGGTGTAAACGGAGTAGAGCTCAAGGTTTGAAACGTGGATTTAGGGTAACTACGGCGATGAATACCGCAGCCTTAGGGTAGAGGGCTGTTACGTTTATTGTTCTGGGGTTCAGGTCGCCCGGGGTGAATAATTTTCCGCTGACAAGAGCCATGCGCAGCAGCAAAATCCAAGCTATCCATAACTCCCTGAACATAAACCGAAAAAGATCGGCAAACGCTTAAGTGCAACAGGGCCCGGATCTAGTGGCCCAACATAATGACGAAAATGGCTGCGCACAGGTCGAGTTCAAGTACAGGGTTTCTCAGATTGCCCAAATCGCTGCATCCGAAACTTTCTGACAGTCTTGAGGATCCTTCTAAGCCCCAGCAAATCTCTGTGAACCTTTTAAGCGTTTTCCTCGGCCCCTCAAGCCCTATAAGCCCGAAGCCACAGAAACCCCTCAAGCCCCTTCCTGACACTGGGCAAGCCCCCTTCAGCCCTACGTACACCCCAGGACCCTTAAGCCCCTGAGAGCCCAAGCCTTTTTCCGGTGGCTCCCCTTTGCCTCTAAGGTGAGCCCTGGCCATAGGCTGCGAAGCTGTCGCATTGCCCCAAGACCTCAGTGCAACTCAGAGAGGATCGGCCCCTTAACCCTCCACCATCCTAGACCCTAAGAGGGGTCTTTATATGATCGGCTGCTCAAGGAGGCTCGGGGGTCAAAACCCCAAGGCATCGGGCGCGGGGTCTACTGGGTTTAGGAAGATCAACGTCCGTACTTTCAGTCTGCTCTGAAGACTGCATCATAGCATCATAGCACCAGAACTTTGAAGTATGCACCCTGCACGACCAGGGGCGCTTTGCAGGGATAAACAGTTCGGATCAGCCCGCGAAATGCTTCCTGTGTTTCTTGCAAGAAGGTTCAGCGGATGGAAGCTTGGGTGCAATGGATCTGGTTGTTGCCTTTTTGGTGCGAGGTTCGACTTTCCGGTGCTCACGGATCAGACTTGGATGCTCCATGATGTCACTCAAGTCCATTACATTGCTTTTGCATTTTGGTATTACGGTATCTACAGAGCCGGTAGTGCTGAGCCGGGACAGGCCGACACCCATGTCCAATCTTTGGACCCAAAGCCGGGTGTGGGTGTGGGTGCCTGCATGTCTGACTACGACGAAAAAGAGGATATGGGCCTGCAGTCTATGCATATGCGGGGTGTGAAATCCACGTGGGGTGACCTGCGATGCTGTGGAGCCGACCATGGGCCCATAGCTGTACAGCACAGGACTATCTGCAAGGTTAACAGCCGAGAGAGTGCCGGGCCTGAACACCAACTACTTGCAGCAATGAGACTCTAAATCTCACACCGCGTACATGAAACCTGAAGCTTTCAAACCCTCAACATCTGCCCGAAAGCCAAGTGAATATCACAGCCGGAGTCGCCGGATAACCGTGGGGCCTGTTTGATGTAGAGGAAAACCTCCAGATCGCGGCCAAGGGAATTTCTGCTCTAAGTCTAATTAATTAGATAATTAGATCTCCTCTGACCGCGTTTCTGTCCTTTTGTCCCGGAGCTCTCTTTTTTTCGATCTTCCTCACCTCGAAACCTCTCTTTTACCAATGTTTCTGTCTTCAACACGTCGAGGGCCAGTAAGAAACTGCTGCTGGCTCTAAATGTCGATCTAGAGGCCTCTGAACGGCATGCACAACACCACCACCACCACCACCACCACCACCGCCACTGCCTCTGTTACTGCCGCTGCTGATACTGCTGCTGCTGGCCGGGAATTTCGAACGATTGTTTGAGCAAGATTGCCAAGCAATCCTGCAATCCTGGTCTGAATTTTAAAGTTCTAGAAGGTAAACTAGTCGGCGAGCAAACAGAGCAAGTGTGGCAGGATGACCAAGATTGCAAGATTGCCAGTGGCCGACCAAGTTGGACCAAGACTGCAGGATTGGAAAGATTTACTCTACAAGTAATTGTTCCAAGTTTCCCGCACAATGTACGTGTACTACTACTACTACTACTACTACTACTACTACTACTAGTTACTAGTAGTACCACTACTACTGCTAAAACTCCGACGACGACTGCTACTAGCAGTAGTTATTGTTGTTGCTGTTGTTGTAACCAGTGGTGCCAATCCGAATCGTCGTCGTGGTTGAAGTCGTCACCATTTCAATTACTACCCTGCTACAGCAAGAGCAGGGGTACCAAGCAAGTCGGGTGTGGGTGTGGATGTGTGGTCGACCAGGGTGCTTTCGGCCCTGTTACAAAACATAGTGGCCCCTCCGGCCCGAAGGCTTAAGGGGCCAACCGACAAGTACTATCATGTTCCACGCAGTCCGTATCGTTGGAGTCATATACTAAACCGATGAAGATCCACAAAAACACGTTTGAGGTTTGGGGTTCGGGGTTTGGGGTTTAAGGTTTAGGGTTTAGGGTTTAAGGTTTAGGGCAATTCCCGGGCCTTGCCCGAAACGTCGTCAGGGCTTTGAGCTCTCGCGGCAAGCTCTTTGGCCAGCCTTCTTTCCGGAGTGATGCCATAGTCTCTACCCATAGGCCCCTAAGTAGTTCCTTTCTATGGCTTATACTTAGAAACCTATAAGGTAATCCCAAAAAGGAACTACTTAGGGCCCTATGGGTATTGCTTCCTGTCTCTGCAGACGGTCTGTTGTTTCTATTTTTGACATCACGATTGGTCGTCATGCTTGCTTTGCTTGAGTGCGGGTGCTCCTTTCTGCAAAGTCTACCAGACTCTGCGGCTTCATTCTGTTTCTTGGGTGCCTAACGGTGTATAGTTGTCGGCTTCAGGTGCCTAGCTGCTTCGGTGGTCAATTCAAGTCTCCATGTCTGACACCATCCAAGCGATACTTCAACAAACCCGAAACAAGAAGCCGAAGTCAGGCTACAAACTACAGTGAAGGCAGACTTTGCTTCTGTGGAGGCCTCCGACCTGGGTCTACCCCATACAAAAACTCACGTTTGCATGCATCTGGGCTGGACTCCAGTACCCTATCCACCTACTAACCTGCCCCACTGCCCACCTACTTACCTACCTCCACCGACCTACCTATCTACCTCTACCTACCGATGGCTGCGCACCTGTTCAACACCCGGAAGTCTGCATGCAGGGCCATGTGGTCACCTGCAGCCTGAGATCAACAGTGGTATTCGTCATTCGGCCTGTCTGCTTCATTGCAGCTTGTTGATTTAGGGTTCCGGTTCTAAGGCGCCGGTTGACATACAGCTCTGTTTGGGCTGTCGAACGACCCAAGAAGTCAACTTATCTTCCTCTACTCGTTGAAGGCAGGCCGAAGGGACTCCCCGAAACTCCTCATTTCGGTACGCATATTAAGGCCCCTATGTAATTGAGGTATACTCCTTTTTTGAGGGGTTTTGGGCTCTCTGGGTACACGATGTTTGTGAAGGTTTTTCCCTCAAGCATTGCAGAGTTCAAAGCTCATGGCGAGGTTACATGGGATCGACTATGACAGAACTTTATCTGTTGGCATTGTGAAGGTTCTTTGCCTCCTACTTAGCAAGGACGAGCCCGCATTGCAGGGTAAGTTCGGCTGAGAAGGCAGATGCAGAAAACAAAGTCACAGGAGGAAACAGAGCCAATGTTTGGCGACCAGACTTCCTAGACATCAATTTGATGACCTTGCTGCATTGCGCTGTGCAAAGCCACTTCACTGAACCACTCAATCGTTTAGATCAGAGCAGTGGGAAGGTTTAGGGTTGAGGGGTTCATTCCCGACTCCTCTTACACTCCTCAGCAGCCGCACGCCATGGTTTCAAATTGCTATCTAGAGCACCACAGGTGCTCCGAAACGTTAATGTTGAGGCCTATCATATTAGAATATTTTACCAAGAATGTTTAGAGCTGAATAAGGGTTCAACTACTAATAACTGCGTCCCGTATCCCAAACACGGCCCCGATGCCACGAGCGGACCAGGAGAGACAGGTACTGCGCTGCCTGCTCGCACAGTCAAGCCAAGAAGGCTTTGGTCTGCTCAGCTCAGGTTTGTTTAGGGTTCCTGTTGCTTTTTTCACCTCTTTTCCTTTCCGCATTTGGTCGGGAATACCATACTGGTTGAGGCTTTTGGCCTGGAGCTGTTTAGGGGTTCGGGGTATAGGACTTGAATTAAGTTTTCCACGCACCTGGCCGTTCGGCTTTGTGGGATTCAGACAGTGGCTGTTAACGGACATTCCCAGGTCTCAGAAGACAGTCACCTCTTAGCCCTTAGAAGCCAAATAATGTCTTGTGAAGCCTTCAAAACAGCCCCTAGGAACCCCCGACCCTAACTTGACAAGACATCTTCTTCAAAAGCAGGCCCTACCACATCCCCCGCGGATGTGGCCTGCACTTAGGTCTTCCTGGCTTCGATCCTCATCTGAGCTTGCCTCGTCACTCTTGGCCGCCTGGGCAGTTCTTGCAGAATTGAAATC